CAAAAATCCTCACCACTGGACCAATAAACAACATTCTTATGAAACGGAGAAGATTGAAGTTGTCAAGGACTTCATTCTTCTGGAGAAGGATATCATGTTTGGTAAGGTGGAGGATTAGAGAAAAAGAGGAAGACCCTAGTCAGATAGATTGGCAAAGTGGCAACATCAATGGGTTCAAACATGGCAACAATTTTTAGGTTGACCCAGGACTGGGCAGTGTTTCATTCTGTTTTTCATAGGGTCACTATGAGTGAGTACTGACTTGATGGCACCTAACAACAACAACAAATATTAATCGATGCAATGCTAGAAGCACTTACTCATCTATGCTAAGGTATTTAAAAGACAGCCACCTGGCCAATTGACTGGAAAAGATACATATTTGTGTCCATTCCAGAAAATGATGAACCAAGAAAATGGTTCATTACCAAGCAATATCATTAATATCACATGTAAGTAAATTATTGCTGAATATAATTTAAAAACAGTTGCAGCAGTACACCAACTAAGAGCTGCCAGAAATTCAAGCCAAATTCAAAAGAGGATGTGGTCCGAGCGATAACAATCGAGGTATTCTCTATTTTCAGCTAAAATTACTCTGGCAACAGCAATTTGGCTGAAAATAGAGAAAACCAAAAAGATGCTAGCTATGTTTTATTGACTATGCTAAGATATTCAACTGTGTGAATCATAACAAATTAGAGATAACTTTGCAAAAATGAAATTCCAGGACACTTAATTGTGCTCATGCAGAACCTATACATAGGCTAAGAGATAGGCATTTGAACAAAACTAGGGAATGCTGTGGTTTAAAATCAGGAAAGATGATTTTAAAGTTGTCAAGGATTTCATTTTACATGTATCCACAACTGATGCCCAGAATGGCAGCAGTTAAGAAATCATGTTTTATAAAGGCAAGTAATAGAAAAAAAAAAAAATCATGTTGTTGTTGGAAGTGCCGTTGAATCGGTTCTGACCCATAGTGACCCTGTATAGGGTTTCCAAAGAGCTACTGGTGAGCTTGAACTGCCAACCTTGAAGTTCAAACAGCTTTGCAGTCTGGTGCATTAACCCACAG